GAAGGGACCAAAGCCCCTCACCCACTCAGTCCTCAAATCGTTTGAAAGGGCTGTTGGCATTTGGCCACTGGGGCCAGTAGGAGCTCTGTTCACTAGGTGGCAGTGTGGTGACCAGGTAGCTGGACCATCCTTCCACTTGGAGTCATGGAGCCTCAGACCTGAAGCACTTCAGAGGCTATCTCATCCATCCCCTTCATTGTACAAAGAGGGAAACTGAGGCTTTGAAATAGGGAGGGACTCTTTCCCAAGGTCATACCAGAAGTCAGAAATAGAATCCAAGTACCACAGCAGACTGGGACACATCTGGCCTCAGCTGCTTCCTGCCTCCTGAGTGACCTTGAATAAGTACCTGGTTAGGGAGACCAGACACACACAACAAGAACCAAGTCTTCTCCCCTCCCTCCCCCAACTGCTGTCAGTTGATTCTGGGGTGGTCTTGCAATTGGATGACGAATGTAGGGGTGAGGAGCCTGGAAAAGACTCGGAAGGGACCCAACAATTACCTTCAAGTCTTTGAGGGTCATCATGTGTAAAAGAGGGATTAGCTGTGTTCTGCTGGCCAAGACTAGGTGCAGTGGGGGCGGGGGAGGAGGAGCATGGCAAAGAGGCAGAAAACCAGAGTGAGCCCCAACGGGGCTGGACTGCCTTGGGATGCGATGAGCTCTCTCACCCTCCTGGGGGTCTCCAAGTGGAGCTTGGGTGGCAGCTCCTTAGGGACTGGCTTGAAGGTATTCTTGTCCAGATGCAGGCTGGACTAGGTACCAGCTGAGGTTCCTCCCGCCTCTGAGATTCTATGGTTTTGTGAAGACAAGGTAGACGTGTAGGAGTCTGAGGACTTGGGCTCAATTCCCACCATTGAGACTTAATTACCTCAAGGAAGTCCCTTGCCTCAGTTTCTTCATATGTAAGATGAGCTGGAGGAGGAAATGGCAAACCACTTCAAGAAAACCTTAAATGGGGTCACAAAGAGTCACACATGACTGAACACCAACAACAAAGTCCCTTCACTTCCCTTGCTTCAGTGTCCTCATCTGTAAGATGGGCTCTGAGGTCCCTTCCAGCTCCAAGGCAAGGGTCCTCTGATCCTATGAGCCCATCAATGTTAGGGGACTTTGAAGGCCCAAGCCAGACTACTGAGTGTTGGCTTCTAAAGGGGACCCAAATTTGGGTCAGGAGACATTGCTAGGGACCATCCCCTCATCCCTCCTTTCATCCCCCATCTCTTCCTCTCTCCCTCCTTTCATCCCCCATCTCTTCCTCTCTCCCTCCTTTCATCCCCCATCTCTTCCTCTCTCCCTCCCTTCATTCCTCCATCTCTTCCTCTCTCCCTCCTTTCATCCCCCATCTCTTCCTCTCTCCCTCCTTTCAGCCCCCATCTCTTCCTCTCTCCCTCCTTTCATCTCCCCATCTCTTCCTCTCTCCCTCCTTTCAGCCACCATCTCTTCCTCTCTCCCTCCTTTCATCTCCCCATCTCTTCCTCTCTCCCTCCTTTCAGCCCCCATCTCTTCCTCTCTCCCTCCCTTCATTCCTCCACCTCTTCCTCTCTCCCTCCTTCCCTCCCCCTTTCCTTCTTTCTTCTCTTTGTCAGGGTATTCCTGACTCTGACACTTATTATCAGGGTGACCTTAGTCAAGTCATTTCAACTCTTTCTGTTCTTTTCTATGACATGAAGGGACTGATCTCAATGACTTCCCAGGTCCCTTTCAGCTGCTCTCCTTCTTGCCTTTCTGTGTCCCCCTCTTCGCACTCCCAGCCTAAGGCCTCCTCTTCTAGATGGGCTCTTGTCCTCCACTGGTGTGTACAAGGTTTGTCTGCGGCCTCCATAAAGGGAAGCAAAGGTGCCCTGCCCCTTGGGGGACTGGAAGGGGAGACTTCTGTGTGTGATCTAATGTGACTTTGGGCCAGGCACCTAACCATGCTGGGCCTCTCTCCCCCTCTTTTTCATCAGAACTGTTGTCTTGCTCATGCCTCTTCCAGGCTGCATTGTGAAGGTGATATCTTTAACCCGAATGTAGAATATCTGGGCTGTGGGAAATGATCCAGTAACCTCCATGATTTCTGGAAAGCAGATTGGGAAGCCTCTGAACTGAGATGAAGAGGACCCAGCTCCTTGCCCACCTGGGGCCTCTGGGTGGTAGGAGGCCATGGGAGCACTGCTCTGGGGTGGGGGAGCATGGAGCAGGGCAGTAACCATGCCCTCCTCCACCCCACAGTAGCACTTTTGGAAAATTCTATCAGGACAGATTGGAGAGGAAGCTGGAGGCAGGGAGGGCCAGGAGGGAAGGGCGGAGGCTCTGGCCTAGGGGAGAAGCTTGGGAGTCAAAGAAACTCAGAGCGGGAAGGAACCTTGGAGATCATTGAGTCCAACCCTCGCCTGTGACAGAGGGAGAAACCAAGGCACAGACAGAGGAGCCCCCAAGTGCCCAGGGAGCCACCAGCATAGCCAGGGCTCTGACTCCAAAATGGCCTTGCCTGTCACGTGGTTTCATCAGTCATGACACAGGGAGGATCAACCATCTTTTTGTTCCTGGGCCCCTGGGAGAGATGGAAAGCAAGGCCTGGCACAAAACCTTGTTCCAGGGAGTACAAGGCAGCCCCCCTTGTTTACCGACCCAGAATTCAGGGCCCCTCACCCGCCCTGTCCTAGGCAGTGTCCTTGAAGTTTGTCTGGGTCCCTTCCCTCTTCCTGGCCCCAGGTTCAGGTACTGAGCAATCATTCAGCAAGTTGCACCCATCTCCCCCCCCCTAAAAAAATAACCACTCTTGTCCCAAGGACAGGCTCTTCTGTCACTCCCTCCCTCTCAACATGAGGGAGCGAAGGTGTTGGCCTGGGCTCTCTCTCCAGCTTAGGGGCATACAGGGCTTAAGCCAGAGCTTTTCCTTGGGAAGGGAGGCCCTGGCTCTGTGGAAGGGCATTGCAACTCCCAGCCAGCAGCCAGGGAGGGTGGAGGAAGAGCCGGGAGCACAGGGGGCCTTCTTGGAGCCTTAAAATCTGCCTGTGGGTAAGGCCAGCTGTGGTAGGGAGTCAGCATCTTAACCATGGAAAGAGCCAGTCATTGCATGGCTACCCAGCTCTCCCTGGGCACACCTGGAGCCTAGGGGCTGCCAAACATAGCACCTTGCTCAGCGGGGGTCACAGCATCTTCCTCCATGCAGGGGTGCAGGGTTAGGCTGGCTGGCCCCCAGGGGTGCCCAAGTGCCTTGACATACCACTATTTACTATCAGGGGCCCAGTGATGAAAAAGGGGGGTTGTCAGCCAGAAATCTGGAAACCAAGTTTTATTTTTGGAAAATGACATTACACACACCTTGCCAATGTACACGGAAATGAGAAAACAAGGAAGAACAGACATTGTGAGCAAAAGGTGGCATCCCAGCGATGCTCCGGCTGCTCTTCCGGGGTAGAACACACCATATGGATTCTTCAAGTCCATCTTTTGGCCACGGGTGTCTGAACACAACATTGGCTGGATGGGCGGAGCTGCTCTAGACCTTGAAGACCCCTGGCCAAAGACACCCCTCATCCTCTAGTGAAACAGAGAGACTGGGGCCTTTGGCCACAGGAGGCAGAAGGAGGCCAGCTCCAGTGGTCTGCTGTAGAGAGAAGGGGTGGCCCAAAGGGAGAGTCAGCCCCTCCTAATGGCTATGTTTGAAAGCAAACCTGCAATCACATTGCAGGGCTGTTTGGGAAAGAGAAAGCAGCCCCCCCACCCTGCCCCCACCCTGTCCCCAAGGTCCTTGCTGCTGTCAGCATCCATCTGCTTTCCTAATAGCTGGCGGTGAAGGCCCCGAGGCCAAGCTGATCCTCTGAAGCTCTTGGAAAGGTCTGAAAGCTCTGGTGTCCCCCCAAGGGCCCCTGGCAGCCTGGCTGGGCTGAGACGATGGCATCCGGGTACGACACACAGGCCTCCAATCTTATCAAAGGGTGAAAGGTGGCTCAGCTCGCCCAAGGTTTTACCATCAAGGGGAGCGGGGCCTTCAATCCCAGAGTTCCTGGGGAAGAGGCCAATGGGAGTGAGGACCCATTGCACAACGGTTTTTGGTTTTTTGCCCACATAGATTCGTCTCAGAACTGTAATTTATGGCCAGAGACAGCCTGGGGCTAGGGAAGGGGGAGGAGGGGAGAGGGACGTGAGAAAAAGAGCCTTCCTTTTCCGAAGTCGCCAACAAGGTCACTGAGGAATGCGATGTATGGTACCATGCACTGACTCTCCAAAGCTACAGACAGTCTCTAACACTAAATTCATGGCCCCAGCCTCGATAATGGTGCTGGGGCTCCCTACTGCCCTTATCTCCACCCCCCCCCCTTTTAAAATGCCCACAGAAATGGTTTCTGTACAAGCTGACTGGTGCGAGGAGGTGACCAGGATGCTTCAAAGAGCTGGCCACGTGTGAGAAATCAAGAATGGGCATTGTGCCCTGCTGAGCAACAGCTGCTTTTAGGGAAGCTGGGCTCGCTGTCTTCAAGCTGCAATGGATGCCAGGGCAAGAGCACACCATCCTGGTACCATCCCCTGCTTACCCACCTCCCTTGATGAAGACAGACACGGATGAGGCATAAGAAAGGCCAGACCCTTCGAGTTGCCCTCCGCTGGCCATGCTCGGCATGGAGGCCGGAGGCCATGGGCGCCTGGAAGCTGGAGGCCCCCGGCTGTACCTCCATGCACTGCTCACGCAGGCTGCCCAAATGGAATGCTACTTGAGGCTCATCACAGGAGGAAAGAACATCTGTTAAATTAACATCTTTATACAAAGTGTACTTTGTTAAATACTTTTTGCATTTCAATCAACCCCCAAATCCTATTGAATCCTAAATACAACTCAATTCTTACACTTGGCTTGACCCTCCCACCCCACGCCACCCCACCCCACCCCATGTGGCTCTGTACAGATGGCTTAAAGTATGCCAGCTAAACTTTAAACCTCGTCCCCCAACCCAATCCCTTCCCTTCATTCCCTGCCCTCCCTCCTCCCCCCACCCCCCCAACAGCAAATGACAATCGAATCCACACTATGGGCTCTCAGGTATATCACACTGAAGCTTTGTTAACTGAGCAAATTGAAAAAGACCAAGGGGCTGTGAGAAGATGGTTGAGGTTTCTGTCCAGCTGTTTGCACCCTTCTCTGCTCCACAAAATAGTGGACCAGCCTGGTCAGCCAGGAGGAATATGCTCAGGCCCAAGGGCCGATAGGGAAGGAGGAGGCTGTTCCTGAGCTGGCAAGGCTGGAAAAGGATGAGTAAATAGAGAGAATTGTGGAGGAGAAGAGGGGGGCAGATGTCTCTGCACATCCGACTCTGTGTGTGTGTGTATGTGTGTGTGTGCACATGTGATGGTGGAGAAGGAGAGAGGCAAACCCTTCCAGAGATAACATGTGGCAGCGTGTGGCAGGGGACCATCAAATGCCAGCTTGTGAGTTGGGAAGCATCACAGAGAAGGTGACCTATTTCAGCCAGGGGGGGAGGGAGGGGATTCTGCTCTAGCCCGGATCTCTTGAACCCAGGTGTCCCTTAGATTGCAAACAGCACAGTGCTTTTGGCCCTGGTGGCAATGCTACACTCTCCAGGCCCTGGGCTCTGCAAGTGGAGAGCTGGCCCCTGAAGGGCCTGCCTTGAGCACGGAGAATGCTGAGCCTGGATGCTCAGAGGTGGGCAGCCAGGCAGTGTTGGAAAGGCCGGGCCAGAGAAGGGGTTTAACAAGAGATTGCCGGTCCTATTTGCCTTCATGCTGCTTCAGCAGCTGGGATTTTGAGTTCTGGCTTGAACTGTTCCTTCTCCTGGCCCCATTGGGCTGGGAACAGGAAGAAACAGGGGCAGTAACAGTAACAATACTGTGCAATCCACTCTAGAGACTGTTCTTTGCAAAAGGGATAGAGTCCCTGCATGGGAACCTTCCATGGGAAGCCTAGAGGGAAGGCTTAGGTGGTCTATCATGTTGCTATCTCCAGCTCCAGGCTTTTTCTGAAGGGCAGCTGCCGAAGGCCCAGGCCACACTCTGGGTGCAAGCTGGGGAGGCTGAGGCCTGCAGGTTTGGCTGAAGAGGTCTTAGCCAGCCTTCCTGACCACCAAGGAGGCAGGCGCAGATCCTCAAGGGAAAGGGCCAGGAGGAAGTCTGAGTGAGATAGGGCTGTACAAGTCTGCACCTGGGTAAGAGAGGCCAGGAGGAGGAGGCACCTTCACCAGGACCCTAGGGGTAAGTGACAGGGAGGCAGACAGAGAGAGAGGCAGGAGCCCAGGACTGGCTTTAGAGGCCTCCGAGTCTGAAGCCCAAGCAGCAACACAGGAAGGAGGCAAGCAGAGGGCTCCTCTAGGAGGGCAACTCAGAGAGGACCATGGAGATGAGGGGACTGCTGGGAGGATGGGGCTGGGTGCAGAGTGGGGAATCTGGAGGGAGTGGGCATGTGAGCCAGAGCGGGCACAGCAAGTAGTGAATACAGAGAATGACAGCCCAGGGAATGCAGTGGGGGCCCAGAGAGTACAGGGGGGAGTCACAGAGAGGATATAAAGAGAGTGTGGGTACAGAAGAGTGAGGGGAGAGTTAAGAAGTTTTGATGGGTACCCAAAGCTGAAGGCACAGAGAGAATGGGGACACAGAGAGAGCAAGGAGGTATGGAAAAAGCAGGGGGCCCAGAGAATGGGGGTACAGTCACAGAAAGCATAGTGGATGGAGGCCAGGACTATGCTGTGGGTATGGAGAGGAGGCCAGAGGCACAAAAAGGAAGATGGGGGTACATGGGAGAGTGAACGACAGGGCCCTGAAGACTCTAACAGGGGGCAAGGTGCTCATTGTCAAAGTTTTGGTGACTTTTCCAAGATTTGATGGCCCTCTAGACCCCCTTGGCCCAAGGTAGCGCATAAGGTCAGATGGCCCCTCCACAGCTGTAAACAGATGGCCAGAGCATGGATTTAACTCCTTTCCCAGTGCCTTCTGGGAGCAGTCACTACCACAGGGCCAGAGAAAGCTAACCCCAGGCCAAGTGGAGCCTGAGAGAAGTGACCAAGGTTAGCCACCAAAGAAACGGCTCCAGCTGCAGCTGATAATGGCCACACCAAGTCTTACAAAGATAGCATTTCAAAGCTCCCTAAAAGGAGTAGGGGCACCCCTTGGCTGTGGCTCCTCTGCCTTCTTCCTTTCCTGTTCTAAGAGCGCGGCTGCTTGGCCAGCAGGGTGCATTTGGATGGGACATAGCAGCTAGTCTGTGCACGCCCCAAACTGGAGGCCTGAAGGCTCTGAGAGCTGAGCACTTACGGGCAGCCCTGAGCACTTCTCCCAGAGGGCAGCCAGGCCTCATACTCCAAGTGCCTTTCCTTGGCCTCACTCTATCCCCTTGCTCCTCTGCTTCCCCTGAATGGTTGCACCTTATTTCCTCAGGGGTGGGGTGGGGTGGGGGGTGGGGTTGGGCCTTGCTCCCTCTGCTTGATGAGATAGGGATTCCAAGATCCAGCATCTCTCAGAAAGCCAGGGGAGGGAAAGCTAAGTGTACTGGCAAGGGCACCCCTGAGAGCCAGGAGACCTGGCTTCTGGCCCCTGTCCTGCCACCAACTTGGGCTAATCCTTTCTCCTTTCTGGGCATCACTTTCATTCTCTATACCATGAGGGGGGTGGGATGAGATCATTTCCCAAATCCCTTCCAGCACTAATATTCTCTAGCCCAAGGTCTCTTCTAGGCTGGGGCTGACATGTCATATATTATATTCTCTCATGTTATGGCATTGCATAGCCCAAAGTCCCTCTCAGGTTGGAGCTTCGATGAACTAAGGGCCTTTCCGACTGTAACGTCTTGTGTCTGCGGGGGCCCCAAAGCTCCCATGCTGGCTCGGCTCGGCTTGGCTGACAAGTAGTTCTCTTGGAAAAGTCTCTTCCCCATTACCTTGCAGCTCACAGTCTCCTATTTAACCTCATTCAGGAAGTTGTCCCTGCCCTCTCCATCCACCCCCTCGCCCCATGCATACCCTTTTCTTTTGCTTTGTCCTTTCTATTCCTGCAGGAGGCGGGAGTGAGCGACAGACAGCCATTAGGTTAGTTGGATACGTGGGAAGGGGGAAAGGGTGAGGCAGCAGATGCTTTCTGAAGCACTTGGGGTCTGCTGACTGTGCAGAAAAGAATCCAGGGTCCCTCAAGGGAAAGCCGAGAAGGCCAGCAGTGGCCTGGCTGGGCACAAAGGGCCCTGGAAAGGGGGTTCAGACAGTTGGTTTCAAAGGCAGCCCCCTAAAGGTTTTCCAAATCTTCTGAAGATGATCAGAAGTACAGGAAGGGGGCACAGTGCCAAGCTGCTTATAGCCTCGAACGTAAAGGAGAAATCCCAGAGATGGGACTGTTACAACAGGCCTCTTTCTGGGCCTCGGTTTCCTCAACTGTCAATGAAGGAGGTAGACTAGCTGACCTCTTGTGTTCCCTCCACGTACGAAGAAAAGCCCCTATACTGATGCATTCTACCAGCTAGTATTTATCTAGTGTTTTTGCAGCTCTGTTGATTAGAGAAATTGGTCTTTGGTTCTCTATTTCACTGTTATTTCTGCCAGATTTTAAGACGAATGCTGTTTTAGCCTCATAAAGGGTAGCATGCCACCTTTATAATTATGAATGATCTAAAAAAAATGGGGATTATTTATTCTTGGAAAGTTTGAAAAAATTCAGCAGCTATGCTGTCTGGGCCGAGGAAACCTTGGCAACTGCTAAGGCAGCTGAGTCTAGGAGCCCAAGCTCACTTAGGAATTCGTTGATTATACCCCATAGGGACTGAATAAGCTGAGAAAAGGCCAATGAGGGGGTCCTTTTGGGCGTACCCTGGGTATAGACCTGGGGAGCCCAGCTGGGTATGCAGAGAGGGCCAGGAATGCCCTGACCTTTCCCTTCTGGCTGGCCTGCCACCGAACAGAAGGGAGTGGGCCTCCCAAGGCACGTGAGCCTGCTTCTGCCCTCCAGAGGGCCTAATGGTAACAGCAGGTAAGTGCCACACAAGCAAAGCTTCTGTCTGCCTGGATGCTATATCAGTGGCTCCATGGAGCTAGTTAAGGCCAAGATGCTTGTTTGGAAGCTAAAGAGTTCTGGGAGATGAGCCTGGGCCTGTGGTTTGGGAGCCTTGGGCTTCATTCTAGTAAAAAGAAATGTCAGGATTCTGGTGGGAGCCCAGCAGAGGCTGAGAAGGAGATGGTCAACAGTAAGTGGCTTACTTTGCCCAGGCAAAGCCCTGGATTGAGGCTGTGGGGGACTGGGGATGGGGCTAGTGCTTTAGGCCCTTGAGGTGTGACTGGATGACAGGGGTACTAGAGTCCTGTCCACTTCTTCTTCCAAAGAGTTGGCAATGAGCTCCAGGGGAGAATGCAAGGGGAGTGGTCAGGGAACAAAATAGAGAAAGGAAAGGAAGGGACGAGACCCTTGGCCTTTATGCTGCCATAAGGATCGACCGAACAAGAGTGGAGGGTGTATCCGCCGTGCACTGCCTTGGCTCCAGCAGCAGGGCCAGTCTGGAGCTTGACTTGGGTAATTTTGAATCGATGTTTGGGGTTCAAATGTTGACTCTGCTGCCTACTCCCTGTGTGATGCTGGACAAATTATTTCCTCCCTTTGGGCCTCAGTTTTCTCATATGCAAATGAGAGGGTTGGATGAAATGAGTTCTAAGGTCCCTTTCAGCTCTGATGTTCTATGATCCTAAGATCTGAGTGGCCCCCACCCACAGCACTGTGTGTCCCAGCATGTGTCCACTTCAGTGGTCAATAACTCAGGCTGAGGTAGACGCTTGATGGTGACACAGTTACACACACACACACACACACACACACACACACATACACACACACAGAAAACTGGCTCACCCCAGGCAGGGTGGAGGAATGACCCAGAATCATTGAGTAGCCAAGCCAAGCCAAGCCAAGCCATCCCTCCCGTCCCATCTCATTCTAACCTTCCCTATCCCTTCTAATGCATAGGGAAATGGTGGTGGGGTTAGGAACTCTTCCCATCTGCTGCCATCAGCACTGGCAGGTGTTACTTCAGATCTCAGTTGAGGAGGCCTCTTGACTTCTTGGAGGAGCTCCTGCCTCAAAGCCCAAGGGCTGGGCCAAATCAGGCATCCAAGGTGAAGAGGAGCAACATCTCTGTTCGGGGTGGCAGTGGGAAGGGCTGAGGATGCGGTGGGAATGGTGGGCCCCACTGGCATTGGGTGGTCAAGCTCAATTGTTCCAAAGCTCATCTGAAGGCTGATGCCATGGTGTGGGCCTTGGCTGTTCTTGGCTTCTCCAGCATCGTCACTAAACTCAGTCATCCTTTGATGGTTTGGAAGGTTGTTGTTGTTGGTGGGTTTTTTTTCATTTTCTGCATGTGTTTTTTAGACAAAAGAAAAAAGCCCCAGCTTATAAAAAAGGAGCAGGAAGAGTTGACATGAGGTTTTTGTTTTTGCTTTTTTATAAAAAGGAGATTGAGTTCTTGCTATAAAATGCGACTGAAAGATGTCAGCCCTGAAAACAAATTCTCACAGTGTTTTCAGTGTTGGTGGTTCACAAGGCATTCAACAGAAGACGTGGAGTTAGACCGATACCATCACTGACAAGAGGGTGAATGTGGCCTTCAGGTCCCTTGGGCCCAGCTGAACGGCTCGGCTCACAGATTCCTGCTTGGCTCAGTGGAGGAGGTGGAGTTGGCCTACCAGATGGGGCTCCTGCTTCGGTGGGCCAGGCTAGGAATCCCTGTGGTGTAGTCCCCTTCCCTCAGTACATTGCTAGCACCCTGGCAGATGGCTGTGCTAGTACAAGTCCCTGGCTTCCCTGCTCGCCCGCCCCCCAAATTGGTGCCAGATGCCAGGCTGGGGCTCTGTCAGAGGCGTAAGCCGAGAGATGACCAGTATCAGCTCTGACCCCTGTCAGCCTTCTTCGGACAAGGAGATCAGGGGCACTTTTTGCCCAGTTGAGGATTCACCAAGGATCTTTTTGCTCCAGATTCCCTTTTCCCCCACCCCCTGCCCCAGTCACATTTTCCATGTGATTTGTAGGAGCTACCCTCCATGGACAGCAGCCTGTAGCACTAGAATGAGACAGCATGAGCCTCGTGGGGGCTCGGGAACGGCACATATCACACCCCCATCAAATTGCTCCAAAGAATGGCATCAATCTAACCTCCTTACTTGATAACTGTGGATTTGTGGCCCAGAGGAGGAATCACAGAAAAAAAAAACCAACCAAACATGTTAATTCTGCGTCCTTTTTCTTTCTCTCTCTCTCTCTCTTCTTTTTTTTTTGAAACTTGAAAGCAATAATGGCCCTGTTGGACACTCTAGCAGAAGTACCATACTGTACAGGAGGAAAGTGGAAAGTTGGCCTCTGGACGCTGGACACTGTGTTCTCTTCACATGGAATCTCCCAGGGAGTCGGAGTCATCCAAGGACAGAGGCAGGTACAGGTCCTGAAAGAGGAAGAGGAGCCAGTGTTAACTTGCCTTCACACCGGCCATGTGAACCTAGGAGAGGCCTAGGTCCCAGTGTTGGCACTGCCACTTAACTCACCATGGGACCTTGGAGCCCATTCCCTTCTCTCGGCCTCCGCTGTAAAATGGGAGACTGGATTAGCTGATGGCTAAGGCTTCTTCTAGCTCTGACACTGTGGGATCCTACGGCCCTCCCTAGCCATCCTCGGTCTTCGGATTTCCTTTCTGTAAAGTAACGGGGCACTCCAGTTCCTCCCAGCACTAACACTCTATGATCACATTATAGCAGAATCATAGAATCTCAGAGCTGCAGGAGACCTCAGAGGCACACCTAGGGCAAGCTCTACGCCAGCAGGAAGACGACGATGATGACGATGATGACGACGGTGACGGTGATGGTGACGATGATGAGCGGGTGTCCAGCTTCCACTTGAATTCTCCCCAGGCAGGGGGCAGGGATTGGGGAGCCCACTTTGGGCCAGCTCTCTGTCATGCTTGCAAAGTGGGTCCCGACATCAAAGCTTGAATTTTCTTCTGTGCAAACTCATCTCCACTGGGAGATAAGTTCTGCCTCTGGAGCCAAGCAGAGCAAGCATGAGTCCCCTTCAAAATGTCACCCTTTACATACTGGAAGAAAGCTATTATGTACAACTCAAAACTTCTAAGCCCCAAGTAAAACAGCTCAGTTTCCTCATTTGGCTACATCTTCACATCCTTTGCCATCTTGGTTGCAAGCAAGAGGGGGGCCTCAAGTCATCCCAGACAAATAGAATATGTCCAAGGAGGAGGATGCCCCTCTCCGCAATTGGCCATACTACCCATTATCATTGCTTCCTCCCCTTCTCCATGCTATGATTTCTTCACCTATGAAATAAAGACCCTCCCTATTGGTCTGCATCGTAGAAGGTAGCTTTAGGGGAAAACCAGGATGAAAATGGGGATTTCACGGGTGTTGATGATGCCAGATGGGTTGGATCACTTTGGGGCAGTGGAAAGAGATCTAAAGTCCTGTGCCCTTCCTGGGCCCTTCTCATTCTAATAATATGTGGAGTATCAATAAATAAATACTTATTGACTGATAAGTGACCATTTTCCTTCCTTGGTTGCATTTAAGCAAAAACAAATGGGGGCAGTGGGATGGTAATTCTGTCAAGTTCCTGGGGGCCCAGTAAATATGGTAGCATCATGGACCCCTTGGCATCCCTCAGCTGTGAGTAAACCTGTATCCCATATTCTGGGGGAGCTATGGGGACAATGTTAGGTTCTGTCAATGTCTTGTTCCTTCTGAGGCACCAACGTTTTAGGCTCTAATGGTTTCCAGAGTTTGCCCATTCATCCCTCGCCTGTTTACTAATACAGGGATGGCTAGATGGAGCTCTGATGCCTGTCTTTGCCAACATGGACAGCTCCTAGCAAAGCTGGCCACCAGCACAAGCACAAGCAGGTACTCCACTGCCCAGTGCTGGCGTACCCTGGAAGCCGAGAAGGCCCAGAGCTTTAGAGTGGCTGTTTTCAGGCATAAAGATGGGCCTGATGCCATGCCAGCTCGCTTTCTGGGGCTGTTGTGGATCTAGCTGAAAGCAAATGCCATGAAGGCCCCTGAACATCAGCTTTCTGTAAAAAGGCATTTCTGCTTATGCTGCAGAGTGGTGCCATATTTCTAGCCATGTGGTTGGAGGGATTCCTTTGTAGATATGTTGTGGAATCCCATTACAGGTAGAATTCACTTGGAAGCCCCCAAATTATGTCTCTCAATCGAGCCAAAGTTTCCATTTGAAAGGCTTGGTCCAAGGCCCTGGCTAATGAGTCTATCATTACATGTCACAGAAATCGAAGAGGATCATTACTGCCTCAGACGCATCAGTAAACAGCTCTTGCCAGCAACGGCACCGATCACTAGAAATGGCCACTCTGCAGTTTCGGCAGATCTGTTCAGGCCTGGTCCAGGGCAGGAAGGCCTATGCTAAGGAGCTGATTGCTAAGTTGGGGCCCCAAGACGACCAGCAGGAGTCACGGGGATGCTAGGACTTTGTCTCATTTTAAAGACATTGACTTCTTTAAAGCTGATTGACGTCTTTTGTTTGGAAACAACTGACACTTCCCAATAAACGCCTTAGTAAAGCTCCCTAAGAAGATAGATTTCTGCCAAACATCTGAGCACAACAGCGGTTGACAAGGCACCATCACTAGCTATCTGGAGAGTTAACCACTTGTTACCAGCAAGAAAGGATTTGCGCTTTTCCCACTGATACTCCAATGCCAGCTTTGTCCAGCAGACATCACCCCTCATTTCATTGTTGTATTCATTTTACATATTGTTCTTTGGCCTTCACCTTCTTTACCCTATATCATTCCATACAAGGCTTCCCCTATTTCTCTGAAACCTTCATATTCATCATTCCTTATGGTGTTGCAAGATTCCATTCCATTTATCTCCCACAATTTGTTAAGCCGTTAACAAACTATGTTGGGCACAGATTTTGTTCCCAGCTTTCTATTCTCACAGACTGCTGCTAGAAATCTGTTTGCACTCCCAGAGTGAGATCTCTAGGTCAAAATTACAAAGAATAACTTTTTTCTTACATAATTCCCGATCGTTTTCCAGGATGGTTGAACGGGCAGTGACTCAATGCTCCTGCCTTCCTTCCCACAGCCCCTCCGCCAACGAGTTTTCCCATTTTTTTCTTTGCGACTTTGATGGCCACATGATGATACCTCAGGAGTATTTCTGCTTGCCGTTCTCTGTTTATTCATGCTTTTGAATACTTTTTTCCTGATGGTCGTTGACAATTCATGTTTCTTCATCTTTGTTTTCTACTTGCCTGCGACCACCCACCCCCGGCCAGAGCAGGTCTCTGGGCCAGGGGCCAACAGCTCCCTTCCTTTGGCTCATAATTGGAAAGCAACTGGTGGCCAGAGGCCCAAAGAACCAATCAGAGCAAGTGGGTGGCTGTGGTACCTGCTGGAGTTCCTGGGCCCGGCCCAAAAGCTGTTGAGACAGATGAGGAGGCCATGTGGTATTGGTGTCGCTGAGATGGAATGGGAACAGCATTCCCACCTAGCCAGGTAAATAAAGCAGAAGGGGGTTTAGTAAGGTATAAGAGACATAATACCTTGTGCTTCCGGAGGCTCCCAGGGCTGGTGGGGGTCGAGATTGGCGACTGCTTTGACTTGGGGGTGGACAGCTGGCTGCTAGATGTCCCGTTGGCTGTCCCAAGAGAACAGAAAAGGCAGGCCAAAGTCAGTAGCATTGCAAGTACCAGGGATTCTCTGTGTTTGCTTACCCCCCCCCATCCAGGGAGTCAATCACACACAAGCCCCTCCCTTCCCCAACAGGTAGGACTAGGGCTCTGCCTCCCTGTCAGTTCAAGCCGTCGTCCATGGAGTGACTGGGAAGGATCCCATGAGGGGTTGGCGGCACCAGTGATAGCAGAGCTCAAGGCCCCCCACTCCCTCCCACCCGTTTCCCATTATAACACAGGCTCGTGTCAGTTATTCCCCACCCAGATCATGGAAAGCAGATGAAAAGGGGAGAGCAGGAAGTGGCCTCTTGGTCTCCCTTTTCTCAGGAGAAGAATGGGGCTGCCAGGGGAAGGGAGTGTTCCCACTGGGAGGCCTCAGAGATGTTACCAACTGGCTGGGGCCTGGAACGATGGGGACTCTCACTTTGGAGGCGGTGCAGTGTTTGGGGAAATGACAGCAACAGCTTCCATGGCTGAGGGAAGGGATCTATGGGCCAGCAGTTTGGAGGCCTCCCTTCCAGTCTCAGCTTAGCCGCTGCCTTGCTGCAAGCCTTGGAACCGGCCACTGACCCCCTCTAAGCCTCCCTCCCAACCCAGCCTGCCCCATCACTTGGTGATTGTCAGCAGAAACTGGGAGAGTGAATGAAAAGGACCTTGTAACTGTGAAGAATTTTGCAAGTAAATGTAAAAGATCGTTAATAATAACATGAAGCTAACATCAGAGAGTAAATTCACAAATTACGAAACAACAAGCTTGTGAAATAGAGGGGCCCAGCAGAGGAGAGAAGACAAGATCAAAATGATGTAGGAACAGGCCAGAGGCCATCATCCCCATCCTCCTGTCTGTTACTGACACTCGCCACCCTGTGTCACACACACGCGTGCATACACGCAAACACACACACGTCACACACACGTCACAGGTCCCACCATCTTCCCTGTTCCCCTCTCTTCCCTTCAGAGGCAGCTCAAGCACCAGCTTCTACATGATCATTGCAGGTGAGGCTAAGAAACCAGCTCAAATCAGTAAATGATCTGTTGTCCCCATTCCTAGCCGGCTGCTTTAGGCTCCTCTCAAAATCCCTGACTGCTACACCTGGGATTTCTGCTGCTCCTGAGCTACCTTGGCTCCTTTCTGTTCCTCAGCTCACTTTCCAAGCCAGGAGCCATCCTGGTTGCTTTCCTAGGATCCACAGATTTAGAGCCTGAAAGGAACTGGGAGGGCATCTGGTCTAATGTGCTCATTTTACAGATGATGAAACTGAGACCCAGAAAGGGGAAAGGACTTGCTCTTGTGGCACAGCTAGTAAACAGCAAAGCCAGGATTCTAACCCAGGTCTTGACTTTAAATCCAGTCCTCATTTCCATTTCCCTCTGTGCTTCCTCCACAACCTGGCCTTGATGCTCCCAGAGGCACTGCAGGGTGCCACAGGGGATCAGAGTTCGAATTCTGCTAGTCACTCAACCTCTGGGCAAGGAGGGGATTGGACTCGATGCCATCTAAGGCGCCTTCAATCTATGACCTTGTGAGCTTGAAGCAACAGAAGAGCCTCCAAATGGTAGGGGAGGAAATAGGGAAGGGAAGGGAAAAAGAGAAGAGAGAAGAGAAGGGGAGAGAAAAAGAGAGAAGGGGAGAGGAAAGAAGAGAGAAGAGGAAAAAGAGAAGAAGAGAAGAGAGGGGAGGAGAGGAGAAAGGAGGAGAGGAGAAAGGAGAAGAGGAGAGAAGAAGAGGAGAGAAGAGGAAAAGAGAAGAAGAGAGAAGAGAAGAAGAGAGGAGAGAAGAAGAGAAGAGAGGAGAGGGGAGAAAAGGAGAAGAGGAGAGAAGAGAAGAAAAGAAGAAGAGATGAGAGAGGAGAGGAGAGAAGAGAGGAGAGAAGAGAAGAAAAAGAGAAGAGGAAAAGAGAAGAGAGGAGAGAAGAGGAGAAGAGAGGAAACAGGAGAAGAGGAGAGAAGAAGAAGAGAGAAGAGGAGAAGAGAAGAAGAGAGAAGAGGAGAGGAGAGAAAGGAATAAGCAAAGAGCAGAAAGTCTGGGCCTCTTAGTTGCCCGCGCCATCTGTGCCCTTGGCCCTTTCTGGGACACACAGTGTCTGCTCTGAATTTCATTGGCCCCTGCTGGCTGGGGTGGCCATTCTCCCGCATGGTGGACTCCAGCTCCCATCTCCATTCTGCAGTGGTGATTCACAGAGTGGAATCTAAGTCCTTCCTGAGCCATGAGCTATTGGTGCAGATGCATGCCCCTCCCTTACTCCTTGGAAGGACTTTGCAGGGCTGTGCCCCCTTAACTCCAGGGGCTTTGCCACCTCCGCTGGCTGGGAATGCTGTGCACCAAATGAAATCAGCCCTCTTTGCTAACCATCACACTTGACTTTGTGGTCATTTTTGCCTGTTGCTGGAGTCTGGACTATCTGGCCTTTATCTGGAACCCGGCTGGCTGGTCCTCCTTCCCAGTGGGGGCAGCTCTCATTCAGGGTCTAGCCACTTTCCATCAAGGCTTCTTTTGTTTGGAGATGACCCTGAACTGGATTTATGCCTGCATGGCAGAGATCCGCCAGACGTGGGGTGTAGAGTAGATGGACACAGTGCACTGAGGACATGCACTCTGACCTTTGGATTCCCTAGCACAGAGAGGAGGCAAAAGGAAACAGCTTGTCCCCCAAAGCCAAGGATCCTCAGATCAGAAATTTAAAACTGGAAGGGCTCTTAGAGGTGACAAAGTCCAATCTCCTTGTTTCACAGAGGAGGAAACAGGGCCTTCGAGGGGAAGTGACCTGTCCACGTGGCAGAACCAGGATCTGACCAATCCAGCATTCTCTCCACTGTGCCACCCTGAGCCCCAGGGGTGAGTGGGATGGTTCCAGAGTCTCTTTAAGCCTAGGTGAGAAGCCTATACCACCCAGACATCCCAGGATCCCAGAATAACCTGTCTATCCTTCTCAGTGGCCCCACAGACTGGGAGTTGGCCCAGAGGAGACATCTTTAGGATCACTGCCTGCATCCCAGATGCGGAGCTGTCTCTGGCTGATAGTCTCCCAGGCAGTGCATTGAGCCAGAACCAGAGGGGAGTCTTGGATAAGGAATACCCAACTAGAACCCTAGACCTGTTATGGGGACCTAGAGGGGACAACTCAAGGACTTTTTTTTTCCTTAGGAGTAATAGGCTGCTTGGAAACCCCCACCGGCGTGTTGCCCTTCCACTTACAATCACTTCCAAGCTTCCCAACCCAAAATGGTGTGGAGCTGCTGGGATTGCTCCATGGACACCCCAGAGTATGAGGGGAAAGTCAGATGAGAGGTTAGGACTGTTCTGAAACCAGGCTCATTAGAAGCCTTAGGCAGGGTGGGGTGATGCCAAGGCTTCATGGAGGCAGGCACAGAATCATGGGATGGGACAGAGTGCGGAGCTGCCTCAGAGCTGGCTCTGTGCAAATGTCCTTGCCAACCTTGGCTTGGAGGCCTCCTCAGAGGCAGCCCGCTGCACCCATTATTAGCAAATTGTCCCTGCCCTCACAGCAATGTTTGTCCTTCCGTTGCTCTCGGTTCTGTCCCCTGAGCTCAAACAGAACAAGCCTATTTCCTTGAGCCCACATGATGGCCCTTCAAGCGCTTGAGCTCAGCCCTCCTGTGCCCTGAGCCTTCTCTTCTCTGGGACAAACCCCGTCAGTCCCTTCCGCTGCTGTTTGTCATGACCTAGCTCCTTTGCCGCCTCCCTCTGGATGCTCTCCAGCTTATCACTGCCTTCAAACCATGCTGGCCAGACCTGGATACCAGGTGCTTCCTGGGATCAGGTGCAATGGATGCTTGCTTGCTCATTCACTTGACTGACAGCAAGGTGAGTTCTAAGACTCTGCCAACGCAAAAGCTCTGGCAGCTTCTCTGTGCCCAGTACCATGTGTGGTGTCTGAGGAGCTGCCTGGCTGAACATGGCCAGTGCCTGGGGAGGAAGGGGCCAAGAAACCACTGCTCCTTTGTAGGAAATAAAAGCCAGTGGTTCCCAGAATGGAGCCCAAGACCCCAGGGCACCAGTAGGACTATCACCTTTCATTGTCTAGACACGGCTCCTTGTATAATGCAGCCTAAGCTCCCAAATGCCATTTTGGCTGCCACCACACGCTGTTGACTCACACTGAGCTTGTGGGCTACTAAGACTCCCAGATCTTTCTTCAATTGAATCTCTGTCTAGCCATACCGCCCCCAACCAGCATTTTTTAACTCAAGTGTAAGACTTTTCATTTTTCCCTTTTACATTTCGCCTTTGGGGCAGCTAGATGGCGTAGTGGATAGAGTACCAGCCCTGGAGTCAGGAGGACCTGAGTTCAAATCTGGCCTCAGATACATAACACTTACTAGCTATGTGACTCTGGGCAAGTCACTTAACCCCAATTGCCTCACCAAAAAAAAAAAAGATATATCAGGGAAAATTTCACTTTCTTAGATTAAGTCCATCAACATCTTTGTGTTTGTTGCTTTTCTAGTTTTTTTTTTTTAATTTGCAAATTTGATGTCATCTATGTCTTTATCTGAGTCATTGATCAAACAGCAGAGGATTGAGCACAGATCCCTGCGGCACCACCCTGAAGACCTCCTTAGGAGCTTGGCCATTCAGACAGTTCCAGTCCATCTAACTGCAATGTTGTCTAGCTGGCCTACTCTCCTCCATAAGAATTACCCGAGGGATTTGGCCAAATGCCTTGCTAAAATCTAGGGAAACTATATCGACGGCATTCCTCTGATTTACCTGTTTGGTGACTGGGGCAGAAAGATCAGCCTGGCGTGAGCTGCTCTTGCTGAAGTCAGGCGAGCTTTTGGGGACCCCTGCTCCCCTTTCTGGGTGTTCACTAAGCAACCCTTTAATAAGGCAGCCCTAGGACTTTGCCGGGAGTCAAAGCCAAGCTCACTGGCCTGCAGCATGTAGACTCTGCTCACTTTCCTATTTTGAAAAATCCGGCCATTTGTCTTTCCTGCCTCAGTTCTTCACAGTCTTTTAACGTTTCAATTCAATTCAGTTCGAGTCAGTCCAACAAGCCCTTGTTATACGCCTGTGATGTGCCAGGCACTGTGTGCCAGGTGCTTGGGATGCAAAGACAAACTTGCCTTGCTCACTGCCAGCTTTTCGTTAGAACCCTGGGGTATAATCTAGAAATTTGTACTCCTCAAGGGCATCTAGATGAGACAGCACGGCCTACTGGAGAGAGCCTTGGACTTGAGTCAGGAAGACCTGGTTGTTTGACTACTGCCCTGGGCATATACTAGCTGTGTGACCCTGGGCAAATCCTGTGCTATTTCTATGCCTCAGTTTCCTCCTTTATAAAATGAGAGGGCTGGAATAGAGAGCCCCAACGGTCTGTGACCCTAGGATTGAGGGCTCCTCTTACTCTTTTTGAGAAATGGAGAGGAGGGAATGTATTCCAGCCTAAGCTTGGGACACTGCTTGCGTGAATGCTTGGAGGCCAAGTATTGAGTTCAAGGGCTCAGCTAGTGGTTTAGTTTGTGCAGAACAGAGATGTTGTGAGGGAGAGTCAAATGGAACAAGTCTGTGAAGGGAAGTGGGAGCCAGACTGTGGACAGCTCAAATGACCTGATGACTAGCTCATGTTTTACCTGCTAGGCAACAGGGGGCCACCGAAGGTTTTTTAGTAGGGGAGTGACATACGCAGAACTGAGCTTTAGGAAAGAGTATTTTGACAACCTTGTAAATGATGGATTGAAGAGGCAAGAGCCTAGAAGCTAGGAGACAACTTGGGAGGCTGCTGCAGTGGTTTGGATGAGAGACCATGGCAGTAGGGTCCACTACTCTGGTGGTGGCCAGGGGAAAGGAGAAAAGAGAGCAGATGGGCAATGGATTGGACATGTGTGTGGGAGTGGAGAAAGGGATGTGTGGGAAGAGGGGGGATGGGCCATGGCCATACCTATAGGGTGTGGTTCTGGGAGAACAGCTCAGAGGTATGGGTGGTTGGGTAGGAAACCAAGGATAGTAAGAGAGCAAGCAGGCTGGAAAACGACTCAGAGAGAAAGACACCATTCAGGTCCTTCTCCACTTGGGAAGGGCTGCACAGATGTCACTCTGTGTGACTCGGCCTTCTCAAGCCCTGGCTCAAGCTGGGGGTGGGAGCTGGTGGCACTGGGGTGACGATGGGCAGGTTGCCAGGCATTGTCTGCCCTTCTGGGTCTGCTTGGCTAATTGCCTCTGCTGCCTCAAAATGCTATTGTCTCTTTGTCTCTCCAACCCTTCTATTAGGGAAGTGTAATACGGTGGGCCAGAAGCGATCCTTTCCACAATTGATCATAGGGTTCTGGGGCCAGACTCAACCACAGGTTGTCAGATTCTGCCACTCTTGAAGGTAGTAGTTTAATGTGAAATGGGTTCTGGGGCATGGGCTGAGGGTAAGCAGTTATTCATCCTTTGACTAAAGAAGGGAGATGAAGGCTCTGTCATCAACACATTTCTGTCTTGACAAGGATGAATTTCCCTGAGGAAAGTGACTGGTGTCTTTCAGAGGACAGAGGGGTGACAGGGTTTTGTGCCTCATTTTTCTCTCCTGTGCATGGCTGGCATTCTGGGTCAGGAAGCAAGCTTCCCCCACTGGTGATCTGGCCCTACAGCGAAGCTCTCCTGTAAAGAGATGCACTGGGTGGAGATGACACCCCCCAAGGTAGAGATTATTTTAGGAGGCTCCCTTCCAAACCTAACATCCAGAAGGACATAAACAATCATTTGGCTAAGATGAGATGAGCCTGTTTCTCTGGCCAGTCTGGAGAGAGAGGCCCTCGACAGGCTTCTGATTGAGGGACACACATTCTCCATTTGGGCTCCTGCTGCTGTGCTCTCCTCCCATTCCAATCTGGGAGACCATCATTCCTTATCTGTCAGATTGTCTCTCCTTACACTCTCTTTCCTTGAGGGCTCAGCCACTTTTGTGGCCAAATCCACATCTCCAGCCCTGACCTCTCTTTTGGCTACCAGCCCTAGATCTCTAACTGCTCTTTAAACATTTCCTCTAGAATGGACCATCATCACCTCAAACTCAATAAATGCAAAGCACAATCACACCCTTCCACTCGTGTCTTGCCATGTCCCTATCTCTACGCTTGATACTTTGGACTTGTCTTGACTGCCTCCTTTTTTCTCACTTCTCACCCACTTGGTCGTTAATTATTTTATTCAATTTCTGCTTTCATAACACTTCTGTCTTCCTTTCCATTCCCACTGCTACCACCCTGGTCCAGGACTCATTACCCCTTTGCCTCATCCAGAATCCCGATAAGGGCAACCAGGCTGGTGAAGGGCTTTGGGTCCATGCCAAATGAAACTGGGGCTGCTTAGCCCAAATGAGAGGAGGCCTGCTGGTGCTGGGGTAGAGGTGGTGACAGGGGCTATTTTATGTAGGGGTCATTGGCTTTATGCCTCTTGGCCAGAACATGGAAGGCAGAGCAATTAAATTCAACAACACTGGGGGCAAATTGCAGAGAGATCAATTCTGGTCTCAAAATGTCCTAACAAGTAGAGGTGTCAAAGACAAAGGGAAGTGGCCTTTGATCCAAGGTGGCATGGCCCCTTAGTGGGGTGGCTGCTGATAAGCCGATTCTCATTCAGCTTTGGGTTGCACCACATGGCGACTGCCAACCCTTCTGGTTTAGAGAATCGGGGCCTCATGGAGCTTGAAAGTTGCCCAGGGAATATCTAGCTTGACCCCTTTGTTTTATGAATGAGGAAACTGAGGCCCAGAGAAGTCCATTGCAGAGCTGGGCTCTCCACCAACTTCACGCTGGTTCTGTTGCTGGGCTCTATAAATCTTATCTAACTGGCCCAGATCCAGTCATGACGTGCAAGGCAGAGCTGTGAAAATGACCCAACACCTTTCCACTGACATGTATAAACCTGTCTACATAAAACTCCATCAAGAGAATTTGCATGCATGAGTTAGTTTGCTGGTCTGCACAGTCAGGCAAAGCACTAGCTAAGCACATCTACTCCTTCATTCAACAAACACTCACTGAATGCCGACTGAACAGCCAGTCCTGCCCCTGGTGACGTTAAGTGCTTGATAACCAGACAGTAGTGTTGATAGTAATTATGATGACACAGGAAGAGGCTGGATTCCCCGAGGGGGTACATCAATGCACCCACTCTACTGGATGGCCTGGGGCCACCTCCTCTTGTCTTGGGAACAGTATATTGAATGAATTTTGTCACTGTGTTATACAGTTGGTTTGGCACCATGGAGGCATGTCTGGTGTCCAGTGGCAATGCACCCTTAGGCATGCAGAAGATACCACCTCTGTGGGCAGAGTCAGCATGCACAACTAAGGAAAAATTACTTACCATCTTGGTCGTTACCTGAGTCAGCTGGCGACTTGCTCCTGCGCACAGGGCCAGGACTTTTTGCTGAGCTCTTTTGAGTCTTGGGAGATGACTTGGTGCTGGTGGTAGCAGGTGGGGCCCCCTTCATGACTCGGCACTCTGGGGGGAGAACAGCCAAGTTAGTGGGGTCCAATGTGGAAGAGGCCAGGATTAGGATGCCCCCCTGCCCCTGACTCCTTCACAGCTCCTTGCCCAAGCCTAGACGTGATAAGGGACTTGTCCAACATCACAACCAGAAGGTGGCAGAGCTGGGATGTGAACCTAGGGCTCCACTGTGCCACAGGGCACTGCGAAGGGCAACCTTTGAAATTCAAGAGATTGAAAAAGGGAATATAGGGAAATTGCTCTGCAAACCTTAAAGAGTTAGAGAAATGCCGTTATTCTTGTTTATTATTATTGAGTATGATTATGATGACCTCCAAGTCTGCAGATGGGAGAGAGACCCTAGGGCAGGGGCTTGTTCTGAACTAAGCATTTAATTCATGGTATTCTAGAAATTGGCCCAATTGAATGGTTTGTTATTGTAGAATAGACCAGAGGATTTGGAGTTGTAAAGGACCGTAGAGACCATGGAATCTAGCCCCCTCATTGAATGGATTATGAAACCGAAGCCTAGAAAATGGAAATGACTTGCCCAAGGTTATACAGCTGGGAAGGGATCAGGACTGCTGGACCTTGTTATAGAAAGACACAGATCTGGGCTTGGTGGAGAGGGATGAGCAGACTCCAGGGCTTACTTGATGGTGGGCCACCCTGTGCAGAGGAGCCTGGGCTAGCAGAGGATGGAGTCCAAGCAGAGCCCAGTTGGTGGGGATGCCAGCTGGGCCTGAGAGCAGTGCCAGCCTCGCTTGCCTGCTGTGGTTCTGGCATCTTCCCTACACTTCCCAAAAGCACTTAGGTTTGAGTCCCAGCTCTATCACTTACCAATGGTGTTACCTTGGCCAAGTCACTTCTCTCTGGGCCTGAGGTACTCCTCTGTAAAATGAGGGGGTTTCACTAGATGGGCCTCCTTCATTCCAGCTCCCTAGGAAGCCTCAGGCCCCCCTGTTTGAAGTTAGGAAGGAGGCCACTGGTCCATGGCCATGCGGGGAGAACTGGGCACGGACTAGTCCTGGTGGTTAGGTATGGGAAGCTTGCAGGGCTGAATGCTGCAGGTTGGCACTGCTGATGGCAGTGAGTGGGTGGGGCGGGGAGGGTAAGATGGGTTTGGTCACGAGCTTTATGTCCTTCCTCCTCTACAGCCCAGCATCCTTCCAAAGCCCTGTCACTCAAGTGAGCCCACAGAAATCTCAGGTGGTCAAAGGAGAAACAAAGGCATGACAAGAACTCTAAGCCATAGGGGCCATCTATGCTCACCATTCTCATCCAGGGAAAAGTCATCCTGGGCGTAGCGGAATTTTTCAGGACCACAGGCAATAAACACATCATCATCGCCAAAGAAATCGTGGAGACAGGTCACCTGCGGGGAAAGCAGACACATCTGTTGGCAGTTCTGTTGGTGGGTCACCTGTGATACCCACGGCCTGCCAGGGGTAGGTAGAAGGACCTCAATCTTCCCTGACCCCTTTAGCTCACAGACAATGCAGAACCAGAATTTTCCAGTTGGAAGGGACCTCAGAGGCCAGTGAGTCCAGCTTGCGTTCGAGGACCTCCAGTGAGGGGAGCCCACCACTTCCTGAGTCATCTCAGCCCACTTTGGGGCAGCTCCTGTGGTCAGGAAGCTCTTCCTGACAGTCACAGCCTAAATCTGCCTCTCTGGGCTCTCCCTCCACTGTTCCTGGGTCTGGCCCCTGGGGCCTAACAGGACAGTGGAATCCCTCCTCCTCCACCAGGTGGCCCTTCAAATCCTGGAAGGCACCTAGCACATGCCTCCCCCAAGCTTTCCCTTTTCCAAGGTAAGAATGCCTGCTTCCTTCACCTGCTCCTCAGAGGCCCCTCACCATGCTGGTTACCCTCCTCTACGTGCCTTCCAGATTAGCAATCAGCCACCCAGTCAATCACCAAGCATTCATTAAGCACTGTGCTAATGCTGGGGAAGTGAAGCCAGTGAATGAAACCGTCTCTGCCCCGAAGGAGCTTCTTTCTCTGACAGAAACATAGAAGTAAAGATGAAATATATATGAAGAAGATACAAGAAAATGTGAGTAAGGGGAGTATTAGCAGCTAACTTGACTTTTCTAGGTGTCGGACCCTGGGCAAATCACTTGCCCCTTCTGAGCCTCTGTTTCCAGTGGAGATAATAGTTCTCATACCCAAGAATCTACGGGGTCACTGAGTATACTTCCTTCCATTTACAGAGGGGGAAGCTGAGGTCCAGAGGAGTCAGTGACTGGCTCAATACAGGTAGCAGGTGGCAGAGCAGGGACTCCATGCCCCAAATGCTTTCCACTGTGTCATGCTGCCTCCACCCTGATTCTGGAGGTTTCATATAGGAGACCGGGCTGGTCACTGCACTGGCAACCACACAGATGGCTTCCAAGTGGGCAAAGATCGCACTAACACAGCAGGCCTAAACCCTATGACAAGACCCCATGGTTCCCAGTATTCCCAAACTAATGCCTAGTAAAGTTGTTCAGCTGATCTTCCCCCTACCATCCCTCACCTGGAGAGACTCCCTCTCCCCAGGAATCCTTGATAGTTTGCAAAACATTTCACAGTCTATGAAGTACATTCACATGCATTCCCTCCTTTTCTTCCTCCTAATAGGCCCATTAGAGAGGTAGGGCAGGATAGGGACCACTAGCCTTATATTACCAAGGAGGAAGCTGAAGCCGGAAGAGCAGAAGGGATGTGCCTAGGTAAGCAGAAAGCAAGACTCAAAGGGTCTCTTGACTCCCCATCCAATGTCCTCTGCTCTGTATCCTAACATTAAGAACAACAATCCTACAACAATGACATGGTTAATCCAACATGGGCCTGAAAGAAGCTAGACCATTAGCTCCACAGAAGTCAATGGTGCAATACGGCAGCCAGAAAAAAACGGTAGCAGAGTCTGTGGTTGCATTAAGAAAATCCAAGTGGCCAGAACAAGGGCAGTGTGCATGTCGCCACCAGCTGCCCTCATCAGAGCACACCTGGATGTGGCACTGTAGTCAGCTCTGGGGCCGACTTGGGAAAGGACAGCGACAAACTTAAAAGCATCCAGAGGAAAGTCAACGAGATGGTGGCAAACAATTCCGCTGAAGGACCGTTGAAGGACTTGGGAATGGTGATCCTGGAGAAGAGAAGATCTGAGGAAGGGGCATGGTTCCTGGCTATGGGTCATTCATTGAAGGGCTAGCTATGGAAGAGGGGATAGCCTTGTTCTGCTTGGGTCCCAAGGGCAGAGATAGCAGCAGCAGTGTGTGTGTGTGTGTGTGTGTGTGTGTGTGTGTGTGGTCACAGAGAAGCAGCTTCTACAATTGATGATGGCGGTTGGGGATGGACAGGACAGGGAAGGCAAGCCTGACTCCCCAAAGGCTAGAGAGAAAATACTCAGGTGCTCTTACAAGAGCCTTGGAGGAGGCTTCACCACAGGCCTGGGGAGGCTCTGCCTGGGTCATGACAAGGCCTGGGGTCAGGCAGCTCATTAATCATAGAATGGGAGGGAGAAGAAACTCTGCTGGTTCCCCTGATATCACTAGTCTTCAAGACTGGCCACGGGCCATGTGCAACCCTGACCCGTATGCGAGGTGGCCAAATGGAGTGGGAGCCACTGCGGCCTCTTGTGGCTATTGGGTACATAGGGGTGGCTGCTTGCTGTGGGACTGGGAGCAAGTCCTTTCTCTTCTCTAGGCCTTAGTTTTCCTCTCTGTAAAATGAAGCAATCTCAAAGGTCCCTCAAACCTTCCATGTGTCTCCATTCTAGGCTACCAAGCTAGGGAGGAGGGAGAGCTTAGCTTGAGGCTTGGGGGGCTCCTCTAGACTCCAGTATGAGGGAAATGTGGCACGGAGAGAGCATTTGATCTTGGGTCAGAAAACCTGGCTTCAAGCCCGGGCTTCTTACCATCCATGTGACCTTGGGCAAATCACTTAAGCTCTCAGACCCTCAGTTTCTCTGTGAATGGATTGGGGTTGGACAAGACATTGCAGACTTCTTGCCTCTCCTCCCCTCCCTGCAGATGCTTGAACCTCTGCCTCACTGAGTTTACTGGCAGTACTGGGAAGGTAGCATCGCTAGCTATCCCAGCAGCAACTGTGAGGACAATGCCCCAGTGATCCTTTTGCCCTTTCCCCTCCTTGCCTTCTCTGGCTACGGGATTGGCATGGAGGGAGCAGACATATTAATGTGTATTGGGGTGACAGCCCAGGGAATGAGCTTAACAACTTAGCTGGGATCCCATCTCTTCCTACAGCCCTCTAGTGGGGGGGTATTCCCCCCGCCCCCCCGGCAGCCCATCCCACTTTAGGGCGTCTTGAATTGCTAGCAAGCTCTTCCTTATTTAGAAGCTGAAACCTGCCTCTCTGCAAATGCCACTCACTCTTCTGAGTCCTGCCCTCCAAAGCCTCTTGTACATGCCAGCCCTTCTTAGTCCCCTCTTCTCCAGGCTAAACTCACCCAGTTCCTCCAACTTTCCATGTTCTCCAGGCCTCTTCCAGCCAATTGCTTTCTTTGTGATACACTCCAGACTGTCAATATCCTTCCTCAAATGTGCTCGGGCCTGCCGACACTCCAAATGAGGTCTGGCCAGGGCAGAGGACAGTGGGACCGTCCCCTACCGTCTTCTGGGCACTTGGCCTCTCTCGATGCTGCTGCTGCATCACACTTCTCATTCCTATTGTGTTTGAAGTCCGTGGGGCCAAACAGAGAAGGGTTAATCCCTTTCCCCCATCGTAGTCCTGTAAATATCTGAAGACAACTAACGTGGTGTGTGTGTGTGTGTGTATGTGTGTTGTGTGTGTGGTGTGTATGTGTATGTGTGTTGTATGTGAACACCACCGCTGTCCTCCAATACATGAAGGATTGTCATGGGGGAAGGGGAGCAGGCTAGTTTTGCTCACTTCTCTCCCCTCCCCTCCCTCTCAGGCACAAGGGCCAAAGGGAATGAGAATGGGTTTTCCAGAGGCAGACTTGAGCTGCAGGTGAGGGCAGCTTCCCAGCAATCAGAGCTGTGCTGAATAGGACTGGCTGCCTTAGGAGAGAGTGAGTCCCCCATCGCTGACTGGACATCCCCCACCCCCTACCAGGACGTTAAAGAGGAGTGCATGTTAGCCTGCATCTGACTTCTGTGTGCCCGGGTGGGGCACACGTATGACCTGGGAGCCCTCTTCCACAATCACGCACTGGCATGTGATATAGCTTGGGCCACAGGGAGTTTGTTTTCTGTTCTCTTTTGGCCGTCACATCTGCCACCTTAATGTTCTGGTGCAAATGGGAGATACCATATGTCAGCTAAATCACAAAGGGACTTTCCTCTAGCCCCCTGGCTTAGCTATTGCTCACAAACAAAGTCCTTCTCTAAGATGAAAAAATAGCTATTCTACCCTCTTCCCAACTAATTAGTGATGTAGCCCACAGCCTTGGCCATGGCTACTGGACTGGGCCATTTCTAAATGACTGACTCATTAGATATTTGGGGATTGCGAGCTGGGAGGGACCCTAGAGGAATCTAGTCCTGTCTCTTCATAGCTAGCAAGTGCCAGAGCCTAAGGATTGGAATGTGGCTCCTCTGCCTCCCAAGCCAGCAACCTGAAGACAGTTCTCCTGTTCTCCCTGAGTCTTCTCTTCTCCAGGCTATAGATCCATCATTTCTTCCACTGATTCTCATGTGGCCGGGACTCAAGGCTCTCTTGGTTGCCTTCCCCAGACATTCTCCAGCTTCTTAAAATGTGGCCTCAGCTCTGAGCCTGACATTCCAGACATGGTCTGATGAGATTGTTGCCGCCCCCAGCCCTGGAAGCTTTGCTTCCCACTTTGGCCTGGTATTTAGGATCCTCTGTATCTTCACCCAAGCAGTCTTTCCAGCCTTATCTCCCACTACTTCCCTTTCCCAGTCTATGCTCTAGCCAAATAGGATTCCAGGCATGACTGGTGTCGGCTGACCTTTCAACCATCTGTGCCCTTAGATACCTCGGCCTCTGTCCTGCCCACCTAGTTGGCAGACCCCTGCCCCACACTGACCTGGGGGCAGTGATGGGGTTTCTAACCCTTAGCCCGACTGTCTCCAATGCCAAAGCCCTGCCTGCCTCTTAGTACCGGGCCTTGCCTGGCTAGTCATCCCATGACCTAGCATGCTAGAACCATTGTTGGCTAGGCTCCGAACCCTGCTTCTGGGATGCCCTGGGCTCTTTGGGAAGCCCCAGTGGGCCCTCTAGCCACTTGGAAAAGTCAGCTCTGACAAAATCTTCAGCTAGAGCCTTCTCAGAGCACCACCATGGTAGAGTAGGCAGGGCACTGCTGCATTTGGAGGCAGAGCACTTGGGGGGGTGATTCCTCCCTAGGGAACCTTGGACAAATCATTTCCCCTCTCCGGGCCTTAA